ATATATATATACACATATATATATATATATATATATATATATATATATATATATATATATATATATATATATGTGTATATATATATATATATATATATATATATATATATATATATATACATATATATATATATATATATATACATATATTTATATATATATATAAATGCACACACACACAGATATACCTCTGATTGCTACCTTGCCCAGAACAATTACACTACTGCGAGTCGCGGTCCCGCTCGCGCGCGGCCTTCTCCCGGCGGCCACTCGCCAGGGCTCTCGGGAGATACCCCGCTGCCCGGGGATACCTCTGCCCAAGCCGGCCACTTAACCTCTGTCCACGCTATGCTACAGAGAACCTATACCACCAACAAAGCCTACAATCAAACCAACACATCCCTGACAAATTGGTGGCCAGCAGTGACAAGAACCTCACAAATGGTGACAACGGTGGATGTCGTTTCTTTCAAACTTGCGACACGAACTCCAAGCCTCCAACAAGAACACCCAGCTCAACCACCTCCTCTCTCCGAAACAAAACTGTAAGTACGCCATGAGAACTTTTTCCCTCTCTTTTTCTTTCTCGTGTATGCTTGCCGTTATGTTTTAACAAGTGTTTTTTTTTCATTATGTCTGAACAAATTTCCGTGCTAGTGCATTATTTCTCTATTATCTACCATCTTTCTTTTAATTCTCACTTCATGGTAGATTATCTTTACTTCATTTGCGAGAGTAATTTTCTAGGTCATGCTCAGCTTGAACATAAATTCGTAGTTAATTACTTAATCTCTAATTATGTGGGTATATTCACGTGAGCATTTTCCTTTAAATTCATTTTTTTCTCGAATGCTCTATGCCCGCGTGGGTATACACAAGAATATTGCCATATTCTAGGCATGTTTTCTTATTATCATTATTCCGCATTGCGTTATCCTTTGCCATATTGACGTAAATTTCAGCATTTTTGGTTGTCCAGAGCATTTATTTCGGCTTGGTGTAACTATTTATTAATGGGATAATTTTGAAAATCCTTAGAACTTGGCGGAATTATCCACAAAAGAGCATTTTTTTTCTTTCTTCAGGCCTTCTCACCTACCCTAGTTCCTAACTTTCCCTCTCTCCACATTTTCCCCTTCCTCTCTACCTAATTTCAATATGTCTGTTAGGGTCACTAGCGTTTTAATATTCTGGCGTTGTGATATTTGATTATGAGTTCATTTCAGTTAAACAAACAAATGAATATAGATGCGATATATTTTGTAAGTGTAATTCTCATCTCACTTAACACATGCCTTTCACGGCCGAATTTTGACCGCGTGTGACCTGTCTTCCTGACATTTCGGTCCGTATGATTTCCGAGTTCGTCATCTTGGTGTTAAAATCCAAACATGTAAATGCACACGTAAAATGTGATTTTTTATTCGTATTTTTCACATTACAAAAAAAATAAAATAAATAATAAACGTAGATATGCTTTATATATATATATGTTATACTTAATTGTGGTTAAGTAAATTTATAGTGCTCCAGGTCAATTAGGCCATGTCATGTCAACTGATGACATTTTCTCCCCTCTCTTGACCCATGTGGGAAATGCCTTTTTCAATTGTCTTTCTTTTTTTATATTTTAGTTTAATTCGTATTTCAATAAATTTATTTCCATATAACTTTGTGGTTTTGATAACCTGAATTAACAATCTACGAGAGAGTGATACTTTAGCTTTGACAGGATTCATTTTCACTACCATTATTCTTTTTCGTTATCGACGTATTTTCATTTTTCCGTATTTATTGCAATACAGTTTATTGGTATATCTAACATTTATATATATTCATTTATTTTTTCTTAGATTGTTCATGTGTCTTTTTCTCACATTTACCTTTGTTGTTATTAGCTATTGCTATTTTGAACAGAATACTTGGGTATGAACCTGATTGTCATCTGACTCCGCGCACAGCTAGAAATAGACATGCCCTTTATTAGTTTCTCATTTTTATTTCAATTATCTCAGTGTTAGAGATCTCTTCTATTATATCAGCTACTACGATTTTACATTGCTCTTGATTTTCGTTATCGTAATTCATCAGTTCATGTGAAATTGCCTCGGTTATCTCAACGATTTTCTTTCTTTCCTCTCATGACAATCGTTCAAAAGCTGACTGGTTTTCATTTCTTTCATTGATAATCTTAATCGCGAACATCATTTCATCATTATTACATCGTCCTTGGAGTCGACCCCACGCTGGGTTCTGGACATGCAAATAGTATTAAGTCGAATGTTGTTCTTACACGTGCTCAGACGCACACTTATCGCACAGGTGCAATTCGGCGCCCATATCGCGCCCGTGATTACGACTATACGTGAGCTTTGCGCTGGCATTTCCCGACGGGATGGGATGCCTAATTTGCGTAATATTTTTATTACATATAAGCTCGTCCTCATAGTACCCTCTCCAACATGATAATATGGTGGGGTACTTACCGCTTTTCCTCCGAGACTTTTGAAGTCTAATGTAACTGACAACCACTTGGGCTCTTATCGGCTGATCCGCTATCCCAAGAGAAGCTGACCCGATTTGCTTGCACCATGCATTGCTCAGCATGCTTTGTTTTGTATGCTCCGTGAGAGACTTGTCACCATTTCATTAATTTCACATGCTGAAGTAAGTATCATTTCTGTAATTCCGCATAGTAGTTGATATAATGATGCAATTGCCGCATACTAGTAACTACATCGCCACAATTAGAAATATTCTTTTCGTGCAGTCAGATCGGTATCTATTTCCCTTGCCCACTAACATTTTTCCACCCTCACTTACACGCTCCCATCCCATCCCATACCCCTCACTCACAAACTACACTTAACCGCCCGCCTTCCCTCTCCTCCTGTCCTTCGCTTATTTACTTCAACTCGCATGCCATTTTATTTCTTATCTATTGATTCTATTCCTAGTCTGACCACTATTATATATTGTACTCGTGTGGTTACTCTGACTTACTCATTTCAGAACCCTAATTCCTTTTTCCACTTGATTCGTTTATTCGCCACGCACTTCACTCATGAAGCCACATACGCACATCGTCTCTCCTTGTATAATCAACGTTAATTTCACAAAAAAATACATGCGTATAGTTTCAGAGAAGCAGTCGCCTTGCGCCAATCTTGTATTATTGCCTTGCTTTACGTTTTATCGTGTCGTATGTATAAATGATGTAATGAGTCGCTCTCGAATGAATATGAGGACTTCATTTTTTATTTTTGTTATCGCTTTGCCGCGATTTGCTGATGGTGTCCGTGATAGACAAAATCTATGAAACAAGAAAAACGATACGCATTTCGTATAAATCAGATGTATATTGCATGTACTGTTGCACAGCACACTGTTGACCTTCGCACTGTTGCATTTTTTTTTCTCTTAGGAAGTTTGTCGTTCAAATTATCTTTAAGGACGCGACAACTTTTCCTTCCGTATAGTTATGCACAATGCTTATCTCTTGTAGAATTTCACCACTACAGTTGCAACTCAAGCAAGTCCTTGCGGATTATTGCAATTGTCTCCCTAAGCATGTTCCACTGTCTATCTCTTGACAGCTAAATTATTTTTATAAATGATTATAAAAAAGGAAAATATAATAAAAAATCTTAAATATTAGTCTCCTGCAATATATTTGATTATATCTTACATACGGCTCTTATCGTCACCCCCCCCCCCCTTCTGTCTCTCTCTGTGCCTGTCTCCGTCCTGCAGCTTCAGCTCTTGCACCCTCATCTTTGTCCCCTGCCTGAGCATAGCAAGTCCAAATTGCTGACCCGTCAAGGACGACGGCTGGGTGCGTGTGCCGAGCGGTCTGAGTGGTCAGAAGCATTCATTGTCACGCCCTCCAGTTAGAATGACCAATAGGGCGGCGTGTCCATGGCATCGCCGTCGTACTGACTTAAGCCACGCCCACATCTCTCATGATCTCTGATCGCTCCCTTGCCCAGAACAATTACACTACTTCGAGTCGCGGTCCCGCTCGCGCGCGGCCTTCTCCCGGTGGCCACTCGCCAGGGCTCTCTTCCCAAACCGGCCAATTAACCTCTGTCCACACTATGCTACAGAGAACCTATACCATCAACAAAGCCTACAGTCAAACCGTGCGTTTAACCAACACATCCCTGACAAAGTGGTGGACAACAATGATAACAAACCTCTCACACACACACACACACACACACACACACACACACACACATATATATATATATATATATATATATATATATATATATATATATATATATATATATATATTTATACATATTTATATATATGTATGTATATGCATATATGTATCTGTATATATGTATACACATGT